TGGGCACCAGTGGTGTAAAATGGCAGGCTCGGGGGCCCAAGCTCTTGCTGCAATTTGCAGTCTTCCCAGTGGAGAAGAGCACCACGTATTGCAGCAAGCTGGCATCAGTTTTACTCAGGGAAGACAGCGACGTGCAGATCGCTAGTCTGCACGCAACGGGATTGGTATCTGAGACCACTACCTACCTGTACTGGGCGAGGCGGGGGTTCACCACATGAGGTCGCGGGAGTACACAGCACGCTGCGCGAATGCCTGTGGCATGCATGAAGGCACATGAAAATTCAAAACCCAGTGCCGAAACGACACATCCATGCGCCACCTCAATAACTTCACGAATGTTCATCTCGCCATGGCTGGCCGAATGCTTCTGAGTTCCGAGTTCCTAACCTTCTTGTCCAAGCCCTTCTGGCAGCGAGCATTGATCTTCGCCTAGACCATGCTGACATCACTCTTTCCGGAGAACCGGCTCTGTCGCCGGCGTGCCTTCTCGCACTATTCCCCAAGGCAAGCGGGTCTAAGCTTTTCGAGGGTCCCCTTGCATCACCGGACTTCTAACTCCCGACTGTTGGGAACTTTCTTCGTGGCTTTGGCGACGGGGCATCGACCTCTTGAGCCGGCCGAAGTCCCTGGGCAACACCCCGTCACCGTGCAAAAGACCGCCGAAACCCAAGAGACAACAAGCAGTGACGGCAGTGCAGCCAGGATCAAAGAGACGCTTGAGACGACATCTAGACGTCAGCAGCCCCTTTGCTCCGCTACCTTCCAACATCTTGCAACGGAGCGGCTATCACAGAACCCACTACGTACCAGTAGCACTCCCACACCCCCTCAAGAGCATTAGCAGCATTAGCATCCGGACAGCAATGCAAGATCACCCCAGAGCACGATTATGAGTGCCGTGCTGAGAACACCAAGAGACGCTTCAGGTGCAACGTGGTGGAGATACGTCGGGCTGCCAAGAGCTGGGGCAATGACCCCAAAGTTGACATTCAAGACGACTTGGGCGTCTAGCTTGGGTTCGTGCAAGGTGCTACGCCTTCTTGCGGGTTCCAAGGGACGTGCTTTCACACAGTGCGATTCGACTGAAGGCCCCTGCGCCCAGCATCGAAAACCGACAAAACCATGCAAAAGATCTTGTCAACAAACCTGCCTCGCCATCGTCAACTTCACCAACCATCCGTGAAGATCCCCGCTGTGCCGCATCGTTCTTGAACAAGTCTTCTACATGCTGCTCGATTGTTTCTATGTCGGAAGGCAGAGTACACTTGGCTGCCCTGACATCAAAGTTAGCCATCTGTCTTAGCATCAGCTGGTGGTTTTGTATCTTCCTCCGGAACGAGAAGAAGCTGGGAAGGGCGAGGGGTGCATACACCATACCTGAGATCATCAACGAGAGCGTGACAGCTGCGAATTTCAGAACCGCGGCATTTCTTCCCAGCACCGGTTCTTCCTCCTCCATCGCTTGATCCACGGTCGTGCGAGGCAAAGCACGATTCAGAAGATCGTAAATCGTGAGGCTCACCACCTCCATGAGGATTGAGTTCAGCAGCCATGGAGCCAACCAAAGCGGAAGCACATCTATCTGCTCTGTCCCAACATGTCGTGCGAAGGTTGCCAGCTCTAACGAACACCACTTGCGCTCAAAGTACGTCTCATCCCAGAGAATAAGCATGCGAGAAGAATGCATCACAAAAACAGGAAGAGCTGCTATTTGTTCTGCCTTCCGATCCATGTCTGTTTGATGGATGCAGAGCCTGTCCACCCAGACAGAATAAGATTGACGCCCCTCGAACAGCTGCTGTCTGAGAAAGAACACAACGAAAAACACTGCAATGGGCAAGTACACCAGGCAGGGCAGTATGAGGTAGCTGCCACCCAGGCCCGTGACGCCTCCCCATCCAACCAATGTAGTTGCAAAGACGAACCAGGCACCACAGGCGCATCGGATTGCCGCCTCCAAGTTGAAGAACCTCAGAAAATCTGATCCGCAGCTCGCACAAACACATGTCAAATCTTTCACTGGCTTGTGCAAAACGGGTGCGGGCCGGTGAAGCTAGAGAGCTGCACAAATTTCCTCCCCGAGATGTGTGAACTCTATCTGTCGCCTGTCTTTCTCGAAACCAGATCAAGTTGGAGATTGAAACAAAAGGGACCTTTAATTGACCTAAATAGAGCCCCAGTCCCACAAAACATGATCAAACTGTCGGACTGCTCTCAAGAACGCTCGAAGCGAAAACTATCAAGCACTCCCGCCAAAACAGGAGTGGAGTGTCGCGGTGCTGACGTGACGCTCTTTGCTGGAGGTGAAACGCGAGCTGAGCAACCGTAAACTGTCACCAATTTTAATTTTTAGTAGCAGAAACACTTGTGCTTTGCCTAGAACATGGGGAGGTGATAGAGAGACGCCAAGTAATAACTTAGTAAGAGCATGTCTACAAAGACCCTAAAACGGAAGCCTAGACCCCACAACCCGGGATCCTAAATGGGAGCTTCTGATCTCCGAGGCCAAGTCGCAAGCAGAGGGCCAGAAACTTTGACCAACGAGAGGCGCTCCAGGAGTGACCGATAAATACGTCCTGGGCTCTTTGCAAGCTCTTGCAAAGGGTTTGTGGTGGTTTTGTTGGACTTCATGGGGGCTCCTGGAGGTGTTGTTTTGAAAGGGTTCTATCGGTATTTCTAGGGCCTATATAGGGATTCCCGGGTGTTTAACAACATGGCTTTCGGGCCGGCTCTTAGAAGCCATGTTCAAATTTGCCCCTCTGGTTCCGTGACAATGCCAGAATTAGGAATACTTTGAAGGCGGCCTGGCGTCGACATGATCTGTCTCTGAAGAAGCTTCGAAGAGCGCTTCCCCTGCATGTTGAACCTGATCCATCGTTGGGAACCGCGTGTTGCTGCTGCCGCCAGCTATGAGGAGCGCATCGAGTGCATCTCTGAAGATGATGCCGAAACCTGTCTGGGGTGCGAATCATGCAGCATTCTCGGAACTCCCGGGAACAACGAAGGGAACGCAAACAAGGCCAAGACACCAGCCAGGACCTGTCGAGGTGAAGCTTTGCGAAAGTGCCCCGACTTGCAAATCTGCTCGTAGCTGCTGGCTCTCCGAAGTCGGGAACCCGAGGCCGACGGCGATTCCGGCATGAAACGAATTCCGCATACAACTGAAGCAGGGAGTCCTTATAGGTCATGTGTTTGGGACTGAGCTGAGCTTCAGGTTGTACATTTATATGCATCCTTGCTCTTGAGCAAACTTCCGACATCTGCATAGACAGCTCAGCCTGCCTGCATGCTTTGGAATCTCGATATTTGGAAAAAGCAAAGTCAACCAACTAAGCGTTATCTGGGGTCATTAAGTTCCAAAGGCCCGATGGCTCATCGGGTTGGGCTTTGCGGTCTCAGAGCTTTTTTGTCATATGGTTCGACTTTCAGCTTACCAGTGTGTTAGGATGCAGAGTTCAGAACTTGGGCAAGCCGTCGTCGACAACATCGAGAACCTTCAACGGCACTCACTCGGGCAGCTGAAACCCTGGACCCTACCACTAGAATCACCTACCCTTAAAGCGCAAACTCCAACACCCGTTGAACCATACACTGTTACACCTCCCGAAACCGTGCACAGACTCGAGGGCCTCAGCTCCGGCTGACCAATCCACTGACTTCGCTCGCTCCACGCCCTCACCGGACTTTACTTTCAGGCTCTTCAGGGCTTACTTTGTCCAAGCTTAAAGCTGAGAGCGTGAAAGGATCCGTTCTCTGATGTTGCACTGCAGGGCATTTCGAAGACGTCCTGTCCGAAATGTCCGCATTATCTCGGGGGGAGGTATCCTCATACTGCCAGGGCTTTGAAGGCCTTTGGGGCTGCCAACTCCGGCATGGAAGCGCGCCGGCTTGTTTTGGTTTGTATCGCAAAAAACCCTCAATAATCAATGCACTGTAGCAGAATAGAATCCGGGAAAAGAGTTTGGGTTCCATGAGTACGGCCTGACATTTCGGGGGCTCGGGCTTCCAGGGTGTGGAAGGGTCAGCAGACCCGAAGTTTGATAAAGTAAGATGCAAAAACACACCGGAACCCAACCATCCTGCAAGAAGGGCTATTTGGGAACCCCGCACCCTCTTGATCCGTGTAGATAGAGCACACAGTACATATGTGTTGAAAGACCAGTCCAGCAAGAATTTGGGCCGAGGCTATGTGACCTCCCTGCGCTCCTCATACTGGTAGCCAAAACCCAAGTAGCGAGCCAGTAACGCGGGAGCAAAGATGAATACAAGGTGATAACTCGGGGAGTCTTTGTGATTAGAGTAGGGTTTGCGGTGTTTCATAGTACAGATACATATAGAGATTAAGCGCGGAATGCTATTCTCAATTATTCACACCCCGAACGAAAGCTGACAGGCCCCGCACACATGAACAGAGCGCAGTCAAAGCATAACTTAATGAAGTCACCAGTCATCGTCACCTACACCACACCATCAACATACAGTATCAGTATGCGCTGTCTTCCGCGCTCTGATTGAAAAATGTCACTCCCAAAGCCGTCGCCCAACCCTGAACCCTTCTGAATCCAATATCCCTGACGCCTGTGACATGCGCTCTTGCAGCGTCGCGCCCGCTGCGCTTGCACTGGAGCTCACCTGCCGTTAGGGCTTTGGATTTATACGATCCGTGAACTGGGATAAATCAACTAAACCCGTCTCTAGCGCATCCGATAGAGTCCCAGGCTCTCCAAATCCAAAACGTTCCGAGCCTTCCCTTTCCCGTTCAGTCTTGTTGTCATGGTCTCCGGGTTTGGGGTGATTTGATGATCGCTGTACAATTGTGTCAAGTGTTTTCGAAAGCATTTGGTCCCGCAGTCTCGGACAGATCCAGGCGAGGCTGCTCAGATCGGAAAACTCGGACAAGATGAAACTGGGCGGCGACATCAGAGACCTCCTGCAAAGCCCGCAACTAGCCGCTAGCGGCCACAAGAATCAATCCGAAGAGCGGATTTACTATATCTACGCTAGCTCGAACCACTGGCTGCATCAGACTCACTCTCGTCGTCGTCTGTCAGCGGAGGCCCAATGTCACAGGCACACTCCTCGAGGGAATGGCCCCCGGTCTCAGGGAGGATGCAAAATCCATATATGCCCATGAGAACTGCAACCGCGACGTAAATCAGAAGGCCTGGCGGCCCCAGAGAAATCACATCTATGAAGGTCAGAGATGTCAACCAGCCGGCTGCAAAGAGAGTGGCTGTGGACACGGACTGAGCTGCCGAGGCATAACGAGGCCCACCCACAGCAGTGACCTCCACGACCACTATCCAGTAACCGATGCCCCAGGTGCTGTAGAAGATGGCAATGAAGGAGCTCATGCCGCTCAACAGCAGCACGGGACTGTCCCAGGCAGCACCCAGTACGAGGACCAGCAGGGCCACAGCAGAGAGGCCACCGCCTGCCCCGAGCAGCGTCCGCCGGGACATGCGTTCAACGATCGCAAGGCCCAGAATCACCCCCAACATCTTGGCGCCCACCACCAGCATTGTAAGCAGGTCTTGGGACTCTTGGCCGATGCCCACGCGAGCCAGCATCTTCTGCGCGTAGATTAGGATGGATGTTGAGGCACATGCCTGGTCGAGGACTGCAGCTGCAAGCGCCAACCCTAGGCCACGGCGGGCTCCGGCAGGCACCTGCTGCGAGCCGATGATGATGGCACAAGCATCTTTTAGCGTACGCCGAAGGACCGACAGCGTGCGGAGGCGGACGGTCTCATCCTTCTCCTCCAGCACCTCCAGATGGCTTTGTGACCTGTAGAGCGGATTACCAGCTGCAAGATGCTTGTCATCCCAGAGACGGACCAGATCATCCTGGCCTTCAGGCATGTCCGTGTCACTCGAAAGCTCTTCTTCCAGACTGCCCCTTCCAGATCGCCATGTCTCGAGACGCTTGTCTGCACCTGGTCGCCGAAGGCTGGCGATCTCCTGCAGCGCAGCCAGCAAAGATGAAGAGCTGGATCCCTTTGTCTGCAACATCCACCTTGGCGACTCCGGCACAGTGCAAGCGACGATCAGCACGGGGAAGGCAAAGACAAAAGGCACGCACCCAGCCTGGTAACGCCACACTGCATCGGAACTGAGCATCTGTAGAAGCGCATTGACCAATGCAGCCAGCAGCATCCCAGAGGCAATTCCCAACTCGTACATTCCCTCGAAGAGCCCTCGCTGCTCCGGCCTCACCACCTCACTCAGGTAGTTGGGCGTGGCCACCGAGGCAAGGCCGATGCCGATCCCCATCAAGAGCCTTCCCACGATCAGCTGTGGTAGGCTCTGGGCGGTAAAGATGAGTAATGGTCCGATCATGCTCGGAATCGCCGAGCAGCCGATAATCGTCCGCCTGCCTCGGGACATGATCAGCGCTCCGCCGAAGAGGCTGCCGAAAATGGCGCCACCTTTCGCGCAAGAGACGACCCACTCGGTCTGTTTCTTGTCCAGCTGGAGCTCCTTGGACATGGACTCAACCGCTGCCCCAATAGATGCCAAGTCCACCCCAAAGAGGAGGCCGGCGCCAACTGCTAGGATAGCCAGGCGCCACAACATGGCTTCTACACTGAGAATATGATTGAACTCTCTTTTAGCCGCTATGTGGTGTGCTCGTTGCTTCCAAGCAGAACGCATGCATCTTCTGCAGCACTGTCTGCAGATTTGAAATCGTGCATTGCAGCGTAGCAAAAGATCATAACAAATTGACAGTGTCAGCTTCAACTGATGTTTGGTTGATTGTTCAGTTGACCCGATGGCTCCGGCTGCTGCACGGCAATGCTTGAGCTGTAGCCACAGTGTCTGAACTCTACGGCATTCTTGAATGCCATATGACCAGACAAATCATCATGTTCGCATATCGAACCGTGACGGAATCTCGGCCGAGAAGCCCGAAACCACAACATATGCATCCTCAGCCCAAGTCATATCTTTGAGGCCTGGATTCAGGGTTTTCGCCTCAGGTCTCTGAGACAATACGGAAACTACTTCTCTCAGTCCTGAGCTCCAGAAACAGAACCGACCGATACAGAATTTTGACTGAGGGGAATGATTGAGAGTGGGGTTGGGGCGTCTTGGAGCATCCAGAAACTCGAAAGCTCCAACAGCGCACTGGGGCCTTCTCGAAGGACGAAGAGACCGAGGACCTTGCTGCATGGACCTTGCCGTACTTCTATTTTGATTCCTACTACTTCTGCTTCTGCTACTACTACTACTACTACTACTACTACTCCTGCTGCTACCGACCACTATCCCCTCCGACCCTAATTCCCAGCGTTCAAGCCGAGACGGATTCCAAGCAAAAGTCGCTAGCCCAAGGCTTCGCAGCATCGAGAGTTTAGCGGGCGCCAAATTTGCATGGGTTTCTTGAGCCAAAGGTTTTTGCCCTCGACTCTCCAAGACTGTGCTATCTTCCAAACAGTGGGCTTGTCTTGTGCTTCGAGTTCTAGCTGCCTCCTTGAATCACCGCGGGGGCTTATTTCACCCTGCAGGGTCAGAAGCGCTTGCCGGCGATTTGACAGTCCGTGCTTGTGTACCATTTTCTGCACGATACGAGCACATTAAGGCAAACACATAAGGGCACGAAGCAAAGAGTTAATGAGGCAGTAACAAAGAGAGGGAGAGAGATAGTGGCAGAAGGTTGTGACTTTGAGAGACATGACACGATAAACCACAGAGAACAGTAAGATCCTATACTTCTGTATAACGTCGTATTATATTTTATCCACTACCATAAGTATAAACCACAACATAGTAACACAGCATTGCAAGCTTCGGAGTCTTCGACCCTTCTCCTGGCCTGCTCCGCCCAGTCAATGGTGCGAGCGTGTTGCAGTCCCTCCAGAGCAGGGACTCTTTTATGATCATGATGATGATTGTTATTGGTTACCGTATTTATTATGATAGTACATTCTAGCAGTATAACTTATAGTATCTTACTTCTTCCCGAGCAAAGTACCACAAAGTGCTGGGAGTTCATGGTCCTACAGTACGCCATGATTGCAAGGTTGCACAGCTTTGAGCGGAGTGCGGACGCTTCGAAGTGCACAAGGGCCCAGGGCTCAAGACCGCATTGCAACCTTGCTCTTATACTCACACGGAGCCGCGACCATTTTCCTGATAAGCCGATGTCCCCAAATAAAGCCTTTGCGAGCCCTCAGCAACAACCTACGC